TCAGGACCGAATTTCAATTGAATCGGTGAGTTCGATAACCGTATAAGTCCAAAATCACTTTTTTGCTGTTAAGATCAAAAACCGTACACGTCCCGGACATATACGGGTTTTCTATCATTTCACTGTACCAGATACTTCGTCGTTAACGTAGCACAGCTGATTGCACCCGTGAGATGAGGAGAAAACCCGTTCATGGGGGTGACTTATTTATATTGTTTTCAATCTCAAGGCCTGTATGCAGCTCTCAAGAAAAGCAAAAACTCCATATAAAATGACGTACAAGAAATGGCAAAGAAATTTTCTTGAGTCACATTTCCTTAAGGCAGTACGCAGTTCTTAAGAAATTTACTACGCTTTCTACTACGGTTTTCTAAAGTTTTTTGTGAAAAAAGAGCACAAGGCAACCCAGGTTTGCAACAGAAATATATGCCCGTTCCATTATTTCTTGCGGAAAGAGTGAGGCAACAAGCTGTGAGCTATCAAAAATGCATACAGGGCTTCAACAACAAAAAATTTGTTGGAGCGGCAACACTAGTGTCTTGTGGTTTTTGCTGAGTATTTGAGTTGGAGGAAGCGTTCTCTTCTTCGAAATGCATATTCGCACACCATCTTAAAATTTTGTAAATTATCAGAAATCAGATACGAAAATATAACTGCTTGTGGATGATACAGATTCAACGCCGATCTATAAATGCTTGAAAATGTATACTTTTCCAAAACGTATCGCTAGAGTAAGCAGGGCATTAGAAACAAAATTGATGCTTCGTTTGTTTTTGGTTGCGATTGGTGTTGGGAAAATGGAAAATTACGAAAATTACGAAAATTAATTCATTGTTATATTGAATATTCAAAATATGCAAAGTATGTGGTTCGAATGTTTCGCAACTCTGCATATAAAAACATTTTAAATTCCTCAGTAGAATAGTATCCAAATATTGTATTGGTACGTTTTGGAAGTCAGCCATACACTAGTATTTTTAGATTGTCTGAAACCGATTATGTATTTGTATACATATTGTTACGATTATCCTCGAAACCTTGAGGGATTTCCCAAATATACTCGGGCTCGTATCGCTGGATTGTTAAATAAATGCTAACGATGACCAAATTGTAGTACAATTAACTTTATTGTACAACAAACAATTTACAATACTTGCTAATACAGTAAAAACCCTTTACAATACTTGTTAAAGCAATAACAACGCTTTACTACTTGTTAACACAATTAAACTTATAGCTTGCTTATTCGCCACTCAATTCTCCGCTCACTTTACTTGTAGCTTGCTGACTTGTAACTCGTAACTAACTCACCTCGCTGTGGCGACGCCTTTATATACCTGCGGTCGTACTTGTGGCAACTCTAGAACGTTCTGATGTTTATCGCTCGTTCTCTTTCTCTCGCTGTTCGCAGTGTTCATCCAACTTGACGTTTCTCTTTGTGGAACATTCTACGTGATTCCTCGAACATTCTGCCTATTTCTCGTTGTTCGCTTCGAGTTGCCGCAGTATTCGCCACAATATAGATAGGGCGATCTTCGACTCAGCCGACGATATAGTTGCGTTTAAGACCGAAGTCATACCGCCTTTTTCCGCGTCTGAATTTGCTGAGCTAAGCTACTACTCTCTTTCCCTTATCGCCCATGAAACCCCAGTTTAAGACGGTCTGGAAGGAC